ATTTCATGTTTCCATTAGGAAATACGGAATAAAATAAAAAGAAAAAGACTAAAGTAAAAAAAAATCAAAAAGAAATGGTAAAAATATTTAAAAATACAATACAATACATCAAACAAAATTTTTTTTCATAAATTCTGCCAATTTTAAAAATCAAAGAATATTCTACAAAACATATTCAAAACATATATTACATTATTTCAATTTCTCGATCCTCGTCAAAAGATTCACCTATATCCATCTAGGCCCTATCTATCAAAAATAAATTCTGCCAATTTTATATAATAAAATAATAAAACAATAATAAAACATTGTAGTAATTATTTTTATTATTATTATTATTATTTCAACTCCATCGATCTTCGTCAAAAAGTTCACGCTTCTTATCGATACATTCACAGATCCAGATACACATAGTTACGCTTTTTGCGGATCGTAACTACGGCTTCTTCTCCGCCGTTGGCTCCCGGCGATATCTGCATCCTCGACTGCAAAGCCCCCGCTTATCGATTTCCCGTAACGTTATCCTCGACCCGCGGACGAATAGGAAAATGTAAAACTGCAGGAAGCGAGAGCATCTGGTGCATGTGTTGGGCAAGTCAGCTGTTGCACTCGTTGTTGCACTCGGTTAAATCGGATGGAACACAAATACACGGTGTAGCGGAACAAGAGCAAGCGCGGGGCTTATAATTTTCCCAAAGCAGAAACTAGAGTTTCGAACTAGAGTTTCATCGATTTCGATGAATTTTCAAAATGCTTCCTTCGCGATTTCACGAGATGGAACGAGTTGTATCGTTATTTGTTTATATAATATTTTTAAACGTTAATATAAAATTGATCTGGATTAACGATTAAAATCGTTAATAAATTTAACAAGTATTGGGGAAGCATCAACATTTTCGTGCGTAGATTGTAAATTTCGATACGATTCGTTATATTTAATATTTCTGATATGTGTATTTCATATATGTATTTCTAACGTATTATACGAGATGGAGTCCGTGGCGCGTGAACCCCGGCCCGGGGTCTACACGACTTTCCCCAAAGCGCTCTCTTCGTTTCTCCATGTTATTCCTATTATTATATAGATTTGATTTGGAAATGTTTGGACTTGAACAAATAAATAAGTAGAATACATTCCTTCCTATTCCAAAATGCAAAATTTTGAAAGACTCGAGCGAAATAAACGAACTTTTTAAGTAACGAAACGTTCTCGTAAACATTTATAGGAGAGAGATTAATTAACGTTGATCCAGAAAAAGATTACAAAAGAATATTAATTAACACCTGGCTCGAATCGAGATCGCGCTTTGATCCGCCTCTAATGTTTTAATTGAAATAAACCTAGGTGTTAAATTCGGCATTGTTCCCGTGAAAATTAAGCGAACTGCTCTCAGAGATCGAATCTTTTTTTTTTTTTTTTNTTTTTTTTTTTTTTTTTTCAATTCTCCAACCGTATATAATGGCCATTGTCGGCTCTCTCGTCGGTATTTATTACCTCGTCGTTGCTCAACATCGTCACGCTCTCGTCTCCCTTCGAACGAAAGTTCATTGTGTTCGAAAAAAGGCCGAGAATAAAATGCATTATTCATTTTATCTCGGTGACTGTGGATCGGTTGAATCAATGTTTCACTTGGAAAGAAGAAATAAAGAAAATAAAGAAGAAAAAAAGGAGGAGAGAAAAAGGGAAAAGGGGGGATAAAAACGAGGGGACGCGTGGCTACATTGTTCGTGCACAATGGACTCGAACTCGGTTATATCGAAAAAAAAAAGAGGGGGAATGAAAAATACCATCCCAAATGTACTCCCTGTTCATAACAATCCGAGTATTGGCAGTTTCCAGTTTTTTCAACTCTTTTGTCCCCACCGTCCGCTTGATTCAAAATCGCGTGTAAAATTTATCTCCACAGATGGGACGGTTATTGTTTTACAAGCGTAATCGTTCGTAACACAAAAAAAAAAAAAAAATAAAAAAAAAAGAAAAACTGGTCATTTAGGATCAAACAATTCCCAAGGGGGAATAAATTGCGCGTGATTCGATACATACAAGTGAAATCAATTTTCGAATCCGCGTTGTCCATTCACTTTTTTTTTCTTTTTAGTCAGTCAGTTCTCCAATAACAATGAACGTTGTTAATTGTATTTTTTAAATGAATTAAATTTGATAAATGATCATTGATAAAAAATTGATGATTTATAGAGAGAAAAAATTCTCGAATAATCGTTTCAACGTTCAATCGATTTTTTTTTAAAAAAATGATATGATTATTCAACCATACGCTCCACATTATTGACGATAATTAACTTTATAATCTTATCCTCGAGGGATAATACATTTCAAGAAATTTAACGAGTTATATGAGATATCGTTTCTAAAAAGTTCAAGTTCCACGTTTCGTTGTAGCAGGTTAGAGAACGACAATAATTGTGCAAAATAATTTTGTCAAATTGATCAAATTTCACAGTCGAAAAACCTATAGTGGTGTCCACTGTGGATCCCTGTGTTTTTCTATTTCACGTGTCGAAAATAAACGACGCACAAACGATTGATGTAAATTTTTAAGCCCTTTGACGAAATTCAAATTGAATTCGAAACTGGACACGGTCAATTAACATTCAAGTCGCGAGAAAATCAATTTTCACACGATGATAGGGAAAATAATTATCGTTGATGGCATCGTTCAATTTCTGGCGCGTGCCGTTTTTGAATGGATTCGTGACGCGTTTGAAGTGCGAGAGATCTCGAGTCTCGAGTGTTAAAAATTTCGTGAAACGCGTGACATCCTGTTCAACTCGATTCTCTCCAATTATATTCGTGTTACGCGTCAAAAAGAATTGGGAAATTTTGTTTTCAAAGATAACACGAATCGAGAAATTAAAAAGAAGAGATCCAATAATAAAGTGAGCATTATAGACAATATTTGGAAAATTAAAAAGTACAACTTTTCTTTTGTAATTATATCATAATAAAAATATATAATCCTATATTATATTATATATATATACGAAAGAATCGAGAGGATCCTGTTAAAATTTTTAACTTAAAGAAGAGATCTATAATAAACTATACATAGAAAATTAAAAATTCAATTTCTTTCTTGTAGCTATTACACCAGTACTAGAAATATATAATCCTACATATATTATATTATATATTCAAAAGAATTGAAAAGATTCTGATAAAATTTTAACCTAAAGAAGAGATCTCTAACAGACTATACATAGAGAACATTGGAAAATTAAAAGTCCAACTTTTCTTTTATAGCTATTACACCATAATAGAAATATATAATCCTACATTATATTATATAATATCAAAAGAATCAAGAGGATCCTGTTAAAATTTTTAACTTAAAGAAGAGATCTATAATAAACTATACATAGAAAATTAAAAATTCAATTTCTTTCTTGTAGCTATTACACCATAGTACTAGAAATATATAATCCTACATATATTATATTATAATATATATTCAAAAGAATTGAAAAGATTCTGATAAAATTTTAACTTAAAGAAGAGATCTCTAACAGACTATACATAGAGAACATTGGAAAATTAAAAGTCCAACTTTTCTTTTATAGCTATTACACCATAATAATCCTACATTATATTATATAATATCAAAAGAATCGAAAGGATCCTATTAAAATTTTCACTTAAAGAAGAGACCATACATAGAAAATTAAAAATTCAATTTCTTTCTTGCAGCTATTACACCATAATAGAAATAATCTTATATTATACACACGAAAGAATCGAGAAGATCATTAAAATTTAAAATTTTAACTTTTCTAATTGTTTCCTCCACTGCAGCATTTTAATAGAAGTAAAATAATCCTGAATAATTTTACGACTGTCTACCAACTGTCTATTAAACGAGGCAACAATCGTCTCTCTACACGTCCAACAACGCAACACGTTACGTTTAAAATAACGGTGACAAGATCCCTTAAGAGAAGCTGCAAACATTCCAAGAGCCTTGTGCACCCCGGTAAGGGGTGAAACAGCGAGGATTCAAGTGGTCGGTCCGGTTGCCTTTCTCACGGCGCCGGGGCTTGAAAAACACGACGAAGAGCACGAAGAGCGCCATTCCCGCCGCCTTGATGACCGTATAAAAGAGGCCTGCTGAGAACACACATAGCTCAACAGGTAGCACGCACAAGTACCTTCCTCCCTCCTTTTATATTCTCGACGAGCATTTCGACCCCCTCGACCCCCTCCCCCCTCCACGCACATTTCCAATTTCTCGTCTAAAACGCGTTGAAAATTCATCCCTATACTCCACACAGATCTTCATCTGCGACGAGAAATTGAATCTCGAATGATCTTGTTGAAAATGATTTTTCGTCGTCGTTCGTTTAACATATTTTCGTATTTCGTTCGTATTCGATCCTTCCTTTTTTCGAAAACAAGAGAGAGGATATAATTGATCTTATAAAGGATCTTGAGAAAAAGTAAAGAGATAATGTAATAAACTGATTCTTCTTATCAAAGAAGAATTGGATAAGTCCAAAAAATTGTTATTGGACTTGTCTTCTTGAGTTTATTAATGTGTATAATATATATATATATATATACTTATAAAACTTAGTACGATATATATACTTATAAACTTAGTTACTTTTGAAAATGGGGAAAATGTTAATCGATATATAATAATAATAATAATAATAATAATAATAATTAAAAAAAAAGAAACAACACTCGACACTCGTTGATTTACATTGCGCAATTTTCAATTCAAGATCAAATATTTTCTCGTGCCTCCCGAAAAAAATGGAAGGTGGAAAAAAAAAAAAAATCTCGTGCAATATATTCTCTAGAAGATTTCCACGTATATAATGACATTAAAAAAAAGAAGAAGAAAAAAAGGATCAAAATAATACAAAGACTAGACAAATCTTACACGATGACGAGAAAAAAAAAATATATATATATATATGTAAAACACGATTATGTGTAAAATCGATCGTGTCGCCACACAACGGAGCACCGATTTCGATTAATCAAATTCCAACGATCGTATATCACAATCGTTGAAATCCCCATTTGCGTGACATTTTCGCGGGCTCGAAGGCAACGTGATCACGATCGAACGATTATTCAAGGCGTCCTGCCTATCCTGTCCCAATCTCGGGTTCCGGAATCCATCCCCCCCCGAATCGCCGAAATCTCCTTGCCGACCTTTGTCATTATCGGTTGAGAACAGCATCTCCCTTAGCATCTCCAACAATTCCACCTCGTTCTTCTCGCCCAGCTCCTCGATCACGCGCAAAGCGTCCAGCATATCCCCCCTCTGCGTCATCTTATCGCCAAACTCGCTCAATTTGGTGGGCATTCTTCCTCCCATAGTCCTCGCTATCACACCATCGTCCACCATCTCCCCCTCCTCGTTGTCGCTCACCTGCTCCTCCGCTGCTTTCTCCAACGCTTCCTCTATCACGTACGTTCCCATGGTGTTGCCGCTCTTCAACGAGGTTTTGCTACTCCCGTGCTTCAATTCCTCCTCCTCCTCCTCCTCCTCCTCTTCCTCTTCCTCTTCCACCTCTTCCTCCTCCTCCTCCTCCTCCTCTTCCTCTTCTTCCGCCTCCTCTTCTTCCTCCTCCTCCCCCTCTTCCTCTTCATTCTCCTCATCCCCCTGCTCGTCCTCGTCGTTCTCGCTCTTCCCCCCACCCACGTTGCCCCCGATCTTCTTCTGGGCCCTCTCCCTGGGTTTCATCACCCTCTTCTCCCTCACCTCCTTGATTTTCGGCGAGTAAGAGGGGGAGGAGGACAGGGAGGAGGATTTAGAGGGCGGGGACGAAATTCTTCTGTTCTTCCGGTCCGAGGACGATGATTTCTTCACCCTGAACGTGGAATTGCCACCGCCCCCCTCCTCCTCGAGATCGGAACGGGCGTAAGTCGACGATTTCTTATCAGGACTTGTTAACGGCTCGTCCACCACCGTTATCCTCCCCTCGTCCCCAGACTCGTCCTCCCTTCGCCCACCCGTGATCACCTTCCTCTGGGAGAAGACGGTGGTTATCACCGTTTGCTCGCTAACGAACAGGTTCACGTTCTGCTTCGCCGTCGCCTGGTCCTGCGAGATCGCGGAGGCAACGATCTCGTAGCTCCCGTTCTCGAACGAGATCATGCGGAGGGCGTGCGCCACCTGGTCGATGAGGTCGCGGATGTACGACATCATCGGGGTGTCGCCCTCCTCCTCCGTGATCTTCGCGGCCACCTGCAGCTCCTCCAACGATTCCACGAATCTTCCTAATTTGGCCAGGCTTTGACCTTTGGCAGGGAGGGGGGAGGAAAAAGAAAAGGAAAAAGTGGGTAATTTTTATTTTTTTCTAAAATTAAATTAGGAGATTAAATTAAAAGGAAAAATAAGAAAATATAAAAAGATCGGAATTGGATTGGAAGAAGAATAGGATCTTTGGTAGGGAGGGGGGAGGAAAGAAAAGGAAAAAGTGAATAATTTTTATTTTTTTCCCTTCCTTCTAAAATTAAATTAGGAGATTAAATTAAAATAGGAGAAAAATAAAAAGATTGGAATTGGATTGGAAGAGGAATAGGATCTTTGGCAGGGAGGGCGAGGAAAGAAAAGGGAAAAGTGGGTAATTTTTATTTTTTTCCCTTCTCCTAAAATTCTTGATATTTTATATTTCGCAGAGATTAAATTAAAAGGAAAAATAAAAATATATAAAAAAATCGGAATTGGATTGGACGAAGAATAGGATCTTTGGCAGGGAGGGGGGAGGAAAAAAGTGGATAATTTTTATTTTTTTCCTGCTTCTAAAATTCTTGATATTTTATATTTCGCGCGGAAATTAAATTAAAAGGAAAAATAAAAAAAATATAAAAAGATCGATAAGATAAAATAAGATAAGATAAAATATAAAAAATTTGGGTTGGATTGGAAGAAGAATAGAATTTTTGGCAGGGGGAAGGAAAAAGAAAAGGAAAAAGTGTATAATTTATATTTTTTTCCCTCCTTTTAAAATTAAATTAGGAGATTAAATTAAAAGAAAAAATAAAAAAATATAAAAAAATCGGAATTGGATTGGAAGAGAAATAAGTATAGCGAGGAAAAAAGGGATATAATAGGATTACCGCTTAACAATAGTTAGAGTTAACAAAGAATTAATCGAGGTAAACCCTCCTAGATTTCGCGTATTCCTCTACGTGTTGGCGCTCTTGTACCGTTCACTGGTGGAAAGAAGTCCCGCGGGACGGGACCGGGGCAAAAGGGGTCGCCTATCTCCATTTCAAACGTAATAGCAAAGAAGCTGATAATTTGAATATTCAAAATCGTAAAAATTATTTTCATTCGTCGAATTTTGGATAATTATCCAAGACTGGAAGCTGAATATTTTCGAAATTATCTATAATATAACCTGGCTTATTCATATATATTATTATCTCATTAGTATCTCATCTACTCGAATACGAAATTATATTTACAATATAAATTAAAAATTTCGTTAAAATTAGCCTACGTATATTAGAGAGAAATAAAAAGAATTTTTATATCGACACATTGGAATTCTCTAGGATTCTATGTCTAATGCATTCCTTCCAATCAGACCTGCGAGACTTATTTCCACCAGTGAACTGCGTGTATCCTGATAAAAACGCGCCTTTTTTAATGGCAACAAGTTGAAAAAGTTAACCGAGTTAAAAATTTCGAAGAAAGTTACTTCAATAATACTTTAAATATAATATCTCGGCCTTTACTTATTTCCAATTAATTAATTATTAACAATTATTTCGAGCAATGAAATAATCAAAGTAACTTTCATTCGTAACCTCAACTTATTAAATTTTGCAACTTTTTGACGATTTTGTCAAACGAATCGGACACCAATGATATAATATTGAATAATAAATAATTATATAACCTCACCTATCAACAACCTTCCGTTCAGCATCCACTTCTTAGAATTACCTTTCGTGGCCGCGTCCACGCACCTGAAACCCATCTCCATCGCCCTCTCGTACTTGCCAGTCTCCAAATAGCATCTTCCAATCTCGTGCCTGATCCAAGCGACCGGGATCGGTTTCTTCAGATCCTTGGCCAGATGCTCCCACGCCTTCGCGGCCGCCTCGAGATGGCCGAAGCTGAGATGCACCTTGCCCAACGTGACCAACGAGCGACACAACAGATTCACGTCCGCGGTGCTCTTCGACAAACGGATCAAACGGGACACGCTGCACACGGCGCGGTCGTGCCTTCCCAGAGCGACGTGGATCAGGGACAGGTAATGATAGGCGGCTATCTGGTAACGCGTGGGATCATGGAAACCTCCCGAAACGAGTAACAGCTCCTGGGCGATCTTCAACGCGGACGACATTTTTCCAGAGTCGAACGACGCTTGGAGATTCTTCAACGACGTCTCGGCGAGATTGTTCATCTGTTTGTGCGCCATTTTCGATTTTGCCAGCTGATTGCTCGACACACGGGGGGACGGTTGAGTTTTCCAGTAGCTTTTGTGATTGTCGAAGTAACTGTTCCGTAATTGGAAAGGGAAATTCGTTTCTGTTGTATCGCATTGGATTACAGGATTCGATATTGTAACGTTGGAAATTTCGAACAATGAGCAATTAGCGTTAGATTATGTTGTTGTTCGCATCGATACGCCAACGTTAAATCTCTCGAGGCTTTCTACGTCCCTATCGACGTCAGCGTCGAGGCTTTAAATTCATAACCCACTGACGGTTCGAATACTTTAATCATCGGTATCGTAGAATATATTCTCATAGACAGATGTGACGAGGCGTAATTTAGATAGGAAAATCGTCAGAGTGAATAATACGCGAATATTTTGTTATTGGGTTAAGTTAGGTTATGTTATATTAAATTAGTTATTGGTTATATTAAATTAATTAAAAATGATCCATCCGTCTATTTTCCCTACTCGCTTATTAGAAATATAAAATTGTTGATTGTAATTAGAAAATTTGTTGGAAAAAAGAAACGACGTACCTCAGTACCTCGGGGATCGTCGCCGGTTCCGGCGATTTCTTTAGCTTCTCGTTCGCTATGATGGCGGCGGTTTCCGGACACAGGACTGCGGTCAATTGTTCCCCAGAGATCGGTGAAACTTTCCTCACGGCTTTCGATGGATTATTGCAAGAGCTTATCGTCGCCGCCGTCCTCCTCGCCGCGACACCGTGGCTACTGTCCTTTGGGTACAAGTTGGCCGCTCTATGGTAAAGCACCAAAGCCGACTCGTAATCGCCGCTGCAAATTCGAAGACGCGTTCACCGATTCGTTTAAACGAATGTAATTGCCCAACAACGTGATTCGAACGATATAATTGGACAAAATTATTCTTTTCTGGTTTTTAGTTTGTACGGAGATTTAATTTTTATTTAGAAAACAATATTGCTTTTTGTAATTGTAATTTATCGTTTCGTTAAATGTAACATAGAAATGTAAGTAAATGTATATAAAAAAAAATTAACGTTGCATTTAATAAATGGAATAAAAAAAATATATATATACAAATAAAATGTATAATAATATAATAAAATAAAATAGAAAAGAAATCGACAAATATTTGAATAAAAATGAAAAGAACAAAATGAAATTATTATAGTTTTTTTAAATATGATTATAAAATTAAAAATAATATAGTTACAATTAAAAATTTGCTAGTTTTATTTTATATACATTTGAAAATGAATTTTGTCCACTTAATATACGTTATTCGAATCACTGTGCAACGTTGGTCCAATTGGAAGAGAACAACGTGGAGATTATATGGGAAAAATACGTGAAATTTAAATAATCCCACATTATGAATAAAATCGTGCGATCCTAAAATGATCTCAACTCTCAAAATAGATAGATGGTATTTTGGAACGCATACACCTTTGTGTACAGAGAGTTTCGTTTCTCCGTTAACGAAGACAGGTATAACAATTTCACGTGAAAGGGATACGCGCGTTATTAATAACAGACGCGCGTCAAAACGGTGGGCGTTGCTCGAGGATGATTCACGAAGAACGCAAGAGGCATCTTCGATTTATAAACGCGCTCCATCATCGTGAATATAATTCGAATGGAAACGGGTAGCCGTGTCTGGTTACCGATCGTATGACAGAGTATAAACTTCCGTAATCGTAGCCAGCCGGTAAAGTTACTCAAACCTCCGTGGTTTAAACCGTGGTGGTCACGTGGTCACGCGTCTCCCTCCCCGTGAAAGATCTATCTCCATCGAACGTAACAAAAATATCGATGTACCTAACACAGTTTGTGCGTTGTCGTTTATACGAGACGATTATGTAATATTACGATCAATCGTGGGACGAGGTTCGTTGACGTTTACCTTAATTATTACGAAAAAATTAAAGATTTTATTTTTAAGGGAAAACAGACGGTACGTTAATTTTATTCCATTTCAAAGGAATAAGTTTTAATTTTTAATTATATATCGTTGAAAATAAATAATTGTTACCTCGACGCTTAATTACATCGAAGGCTTGATTTAATAATAATAGGCTTCTGTTTAGATTTAGTCTTTGGATTCAACGAAATGAAATACACAATTTTTCTCTCTCTCTCTTTCTCTCTCTAAAAATTCATCTCTCGTTATCGACTTTATCAACGTATACCGAATATACGCAATTCAGATAACCTGAATTTTCTTCCATGTAATTGTTCCTCTCTTTCTCTCCACGTTCTAATTTACTTTCAAGCCGTATATCTCTATGAGATAAAATTACAATTACAAAACGTCGAAAATAAACGTTTACACCGGAACTGGGCGACTATATACTAGTTTAAGTGATGGTATAGTTTGGTATGCGATCTCGTACGAAACTGAAATCGAAGTGAAATTGGATTGGCGAAGATTGAAGACGTCAACTTTCCGATATCGGCCGCTGCTTAAAAGTGACGTTGGGCGGATATCTCGAGTCGATTTTACGATTTTTGTTTAAAAAAATCGCGGATCCAAAAAAAAAAAAAAAAAAAAGGAAATCTTGCCTGCGGTACAGCTGATCCGCCTCACGGTGCAGAGCTTGCGCATACTCCCGGCTATTTTTCAAATTTTGCTTGGAATCGGTCCTCTTGTGATCGAGGCGGGCACGGCATTCCGCATTCTCGATCGCTTTCCTCGTGTCGTTCAAGTCCTCGAGATCGTCTTTCAGGCTTCTGCTCGCGAGGACGGCCATCGAAATTTAAAAGGAGCGATGTTGACGTTCGTCTGGTCGAAGTTGAAATGAGCCGTTAATCCCCCCCCCCCCCTCCTCCTCCTCCTCCTCTCCCTCGTGCTTTGAAGTTTGCCAATTATTACGTATCGCGAATATTATTTTTAGAAACGTTTTAGATAGCGTTATTACCGATCCAACTCGATCTTTCCTCCGGCGATCTTTATCATCGATCGTTAAATTCGGATTAATTATTTTTCAACGAAACAATACGAAAGAATTGAACTATAAATTTATATGTATATATATATATATATATATTGTGTGTATATATATTATATATACAACTATATTTTCTACCATATTGTGTGTACATTCACAAATTACATGGAAATTTTATTTTCTACTTGAACAAATCTAATTTTCACAATTGGACTTTCACGAAGGAATTCGATTTATCCATTTAACGGGGATTGAAACGCAGGCAACGAAGAGTGGAACTTATCCTATTAGCCGGCGCAATTTTCCAGAGGTCCGCGTGGAAAATCCAGCCCCCATCAAAATCCCATCTTTCCCAACGTGGAAACCTGAAAAAGAAGATAAGGAGTTACACACTTGCGACTTGCTCGCTCGAAGAAGATTGTCGTCGTTGAACACCGTCCAAGATTATCTCTCTTAAGGGGTTGAGAAAAATTGGCTCGGACGTTAAACGTCCCTTCAAACTTTGGAAAACTTGGAGAAACTTTTTAAAATCCGACGACGACAATTATTTATTTATTTATTTATTTTTTTTTTTTCCCCTCCTTCGATCGAGAAAATTCAGGGAAAGGCGTTCAGCGTGAAGTTTCTCGGAACGATAGTTTCAAAAAAAAATCGCCAAAAATCTGACCTTGGTCCTTAAAGTTTCCACGCTTTAAAGTTTCCTGCCTTCTTTGTCGAGCATCAACAAAGAACGATGTCTGCTTGGAGTTCTACCACTTCGCTCTACGTGTTCACATCGAGAAATTATTAAGCCAATCCTTGGATAAATCGTACGATCTACTTTTACGAAAGACGATCACTTCTCGTTCTCGAGCCGATTATTAATCGTATTGATCGAAATCGATGAAGCCAAGCCTCTCCTTGGAAGGCTCGAACTGGGCCAGCAGCGCCTTCCTCGTCTCTATAATCGGATCCTTCGGCGGTTGTGGCATTATGGTCTTCCTCTTGCAGGGCAGCTTGAACTTCTTGTCCACCGGTTTGCAGCCGGGCATCACGGATATCCTCCTCTTCGCCGGGACCGCCTCCATCCGCCTCCAAAGGAAATCCACCTCCGCCTTCATGTCCTCGGGCATCAGGTTCAATATGAGCTGTTGCCTGGCGGCGATCGCGTCGAACGCGAGCAATTTCTCCATGTCTATGTCGTCGATTATCTCGACAGCTCGTTTGTAGAAATCTACCAGGAAGTCGAGGCCGAGCTTCTTCGAGCTTGCAAGGGCGATGAGGGCAGCCTCCTTCGCCTCGTTCCGATAATTCTGGCATATCTCTATACGGATGAACAGATGCTGGGAATTCAGCATCCATTGCTCGTTCTGGGCCTCCTGGCCCATGTCGCGGGCCTTCTTCCCGTAGAATCTCGCCAGATCGTAGCGGCGTATGTCGATCAAGTATTTGCACAGCTCGTGGAAAAGCCAGGCCAGCTCCAACGGCTCGGACGCCATCGCCAATCTCCTGTAACGAAAATCGATTGAAAGGTTCGTTGAAGAGAGAGAGAGAGAGGGGGGAGGCTTAAAATATTCTTTTGGATTAGCTATAATTGGTCGTCGAAGATCCTTTTTTCAACGTTAGAATTATTATTAATCGGTGAGATTACGACGAAAAGGGGAAAGATTGAAGTGATATTTGATTCTGATTGAAGGAGTGACGAACCTGCGGTACGTTTTCAGAGCCTCTTTCCTATCGATGGCTTTTATCCAACCGATATCTACGTCTCGTGGCAATTCAGCTACCCGAATCCCCAAATGGTGTTTCAGGTATATCTTCTTAAGGTTTAAATCTTGTATGTTGGTCACATTGCGCGAGTCTATGTAGGTCCACGCGATCATGTTGTAAAGCACGTTCAAACACTTCTCCTTTAAGGGGAACATCTTCGAGGAGAACGAGTCTAATTTGTCCTTTATCCAGTCCACCATTCTATATAAATTTATATAATATATATAATTGTATATAAATTTATTCGCAATAATAATAAATAGAGAGATGTATTTTTTTGGATATTTCTCGAGAAAAAAGAGAAAAATATTTTTGCGATCGAGGATTATTATTCTTTACCTGAAGAACTCGATGTAATCCTTTTTCATTCTAATTTCGTGCAGACGATTCAGCAAGAAGTCGGCTTGCACGATGATGAGGTTCTTTTTCAGCTTCTTCTCGGCCTCTAGGGCCCTTCTGAACCCCTCCGGTTTAAGCCTCCGCTTGAACAACATCACGTAAAGAGGTTGCCGCATCCGCAGAACGTTTTGTCTACGAAGGCACCTGTTGTAATTTCTCCATATCATCTCGTTAAGTATAATGGAGCTCTCTTTATTAGGCGAGTCGTATTTCTCGGGATTCTCGGCCAAAAATTGCAGGAATTCCTTGTCCTTGGCCAAGTGTCCCATATAAATCTGGGAGAAGATGAGCTGCAACTTTTTAAACCATAGTTCCGCCTGGGCAATAGGGTCGTTCACTTTGAACTTCGATTGCTCCTCTTCTATGCCTGCAAGATGATATAATTTCTCGTTTTCCTAAATCTTTTAAGTAATTAAGGAATCGCTAGAGAATTTGAAATTGAAAAATCTCGAAAATACGTAAGGAAATTAGAATTTTCTGTTGCAGAAAAAAAGGATTTCAACGTTTATGCACTTATATAATCTTTCGTTTTCTTTGCGAATCTTTTAAGTTCAAAGAATCGCTCGAGAATTTGAAATTGAAAAATCTTGAAAATATGTAAGGAAATTATATATTTCAAATTATTATATTTCGAACTAACTTTATTATTAATTATTATATTAAATATGCCTGGAAGATAATATAATTTTGATTTCTTCTTACAGTTTGCAAAGATCTTACAGTTTGCAAAGAATCGAGAATTTGAAATTGAAAAATCTCGAAAATACGTAAGGAAATTAGAATATATTTTAAATTATTATATTTCGAATTAACTTTATTATTAATTATGCCTGCAAGATAATATAATTTTGATTTCTTCTTACAGTTTGCAAAGAATTGCTCGAGAATTTGAAATTGAAAAATCTCGAAAATACGTAAAAAAATTAAAATATATTTCGAATTAACTTTATTATTAATTATGCCTGGAAGATAATATAATTTTGATTTCTTCTTACAGTTTGCAAAGAATCGAGAATTTGAAATTGAAAAATCTCGAAAATACGTAAATTAGAATATATTTCGAATTATTATATTTCGAATTAACTTTATTATTAACTATGCCTGGAAGATAATATAATTTTAAATTCTCTTTACAAATTTGCAAAGAATCGCTTTAAGATTTAAAATTTAAAAATACGTAAGAAAATTAGAATTTTCTCTTGCAGAAAAAAAAAAGGATTTCAGCATTTATGTACTTATATTCCTATATTAACTTTATTATTAATTATGCCTGCAAGATAATATAATTTTGATTTCTTCTTACAGTTTGCAAAGAATCGTTCGAGAATTTGAAATTTCAAAAATACGAAAATTAGAATTTTCTCTTGCAGAAAAGAAAGGATTTCAGCATTTATCTCAGCATTTATATTCCAATATCTGAAATTAACTTTATTATTAACTATATGCCTGGAAAATAATATAATTTTGAATTCTCCTTACAAATTTGCAAAGAATTTAAAATTCTAAAATTTAAAATTTAAAAATACCTAAAATTAGAATTTCTCTTGCAGAAAAAAAAAGGATTTTATCTCTGCATTTATGTTCCAATATCTGAAATTAACTTTATTATTAACTATATGCCTGGAAGATAATATAATTTTGAATTCTTCTTACAGTTTGCAAAGAATCGCTCGAGAATTTTAAAATCTCGAAAATACGAAAATTAGAATTTTCTCTTGCAAAAGAAAAAGAGAATGGATTGGAGGAGGATCTCAGCACTTATATTTCCACCTATATTCCTACATAATATAATTTTATTTAGAACAGAAGCGAAATGTTATACCAGAGGATTAAAATTTGAAAGCAAAGTAATATTGATCACCGTTCCGAGCGAATCGAATTAATTATCTTTTCGAAACGCTTAATGCTTATCGCTCGAGATTCTCGATTTATCGAACTAGTATTATAATCAAGTATTGCTCGTTAGCGCGATTACGTTACCAACTGAAGCACGTAACGTCACGAGGAGAGATTAAAACGTTCTAACGAACCACGGTTACGCTTTTAACGAAGTTCTTCGATCTTTTCCTTTTTTTTTTTTTTTTTT